GATGGGATCCATTTTCTGACACTCTTTGCTCTCGTATCCTGAGTATATGAGAAAGATGGTAAAATGAGTTCTTTTCTGATTTTTATCTTCTCCTGGAGAGTGTTAAGGGAAACTATCTTAGTAGCAATGAATAGTAGAAAGCCATCTAAGTTATTAGATGAATATCACAGAGCTGCTTAATATGCACTGTGGCTTAATGTAGGTTATAAATGTTACCAAATGGTAATTAGCAGAGCTAATTAAACACTATTATTCTGCTATGATCTCTCCTTAGATTTCTGTTGCAAAGTAGAAGGAAACTGAATAATTCTAAACCCATAGATGGATTTCTTCACTTCTCCCCACCAGTAAACATTTCTTTTAATTAATTAAATAGTTAAAGTCATCCTCATACAGAGATCCTGAACTCTACTTAATAACTGATCAGTTAAGAGTGGTTTGTTACATACATAATAATGAGCTCCTCATGTGTATGAGTCAGTACTGTTATTTTATTGATCAGTCCAGCTAGAGTTTTTTCTCCTCATGTGTTCTTTAGCAGGATTTAATCTGGCAAACTAACTGCAAGAGTGGTGTTTTCAATTTACATCTTAGGTGTTGTCTTATGAATTTTTCAGTACAGAATCAGGGGCTTGGCTTTGTATAAAATGTAGTAGCATATCTCCCTCCTGGCATCCCAGGAGCACTGAATAGCAGGAAATAAAACCACTTCCAGAAAAGAGCTTTCCTTGATGACTGAGTATGTAGGTGTCCCACTGGGGACTTATCTCCTTCTATGCCTGGGATTGCTATCTCAGCTGTGAAACAATTTGGTGATAGGATGTGCACAAGCAGGGCAATCAGAAAGTTCACAGGAGTAACCTGGAAGGTTTAGGCCAGTGCCTGTGTCCAAGAAAGGGGACCTTGAAAGAATATCCCTTGCTAATAGAAGAATGTATAGAAAAGGGACAAGCAAAAGAAATGTACAGACTGGCTCGGCACCTATAGCTCAACCGGCTAAGGTGCCAGCCACGTACAGCTAAGGTGGCGGGTTCGAATCCCCAGCCTGGACCCGCCAAACAACAATGACGGCTGCAACCAAAAAATAGC